CCCACTGGACCTAAAAACACCAAACTCGGGGAGACCATTCCTGCCATGGTGTAGGTCCTCACTATGAAGGGATTTTTAGAAACTCAACCCCTAAGGGGGTCAAAAGGGGTAAAATGTGCTCCCCCATTGATTCATATGTGGCTGCCAGGCAGCTGCCTCTTGCACCCCCCACTCTCTAATTGGTCAGCTGCAGAGCTCAGTGTTCTGAGGTTGAAAAAACCCAAACAGTTATAGGGGACTGCAGAGAGCTAATGACAGTTGAGCAAATCAGGAGTGGCCAACAACCACCTGAGAGGTGAAGCAAAGCTGCTGGCCCAGCCTCCCTATGGCTTCAAATATGCTCCCCCCCCCACACCTGACAGGCAGTTGTCTGTCAGGTGCAGCAGCAGTTGCAGGGTGCTTAAAGCCACGAGGGAGTTACTGCCCCAGCAGTAATGCCTTAGTGATCCTGCCAGCCCCACCTCCAGAGTAGCTGTCTGTCAGGTGTAGGAGCAGGACCAGGGTACTTTAATCACCTTAGCGGTGATGCTGGACCAACCTCTCTGATGGCTTCCAACACACTCCCCTCACCTCGTACACCTAACAGGTGGTTGTCTGTCAGGTGCAGCTGCGGTTGCAGGGTGCTTAAAGCCATGAGGGAGACCACCCCAGCAGTCTACAGAGAGGTCCTTCAGTAGAGAAAAAAAAGTATGTATGTCTCACTTCATTTTTTACACTACAGTCTTCTTCATTAGAATTCCTACAACAAATGTTACATTTCAAACTTTTTTAAAAAACTTGAAATCTTTTTATTTTGTTAACCACATTTATACAAAAATACAAACCATCAAACATATTAAACTACAAACTGTAAAATTTTTGCTTCACAACATTCTTTACATTTTAGATCTCTAAGTATAAACACTATTGGACTCCTAATAAAATACAAAATTTAGATATTTCCTAGGTACTAAACACATCTTGTTTGTAGAATTAGTAACAAATTCAAAGAAAGAAAACCATCTTTTCATAACTTCAGTTGATGTCTTAATCCGGTCAGCTGCTACCATCTGGGATGCTAGCTTGTCTGTGACTGCCAAATCCCATACCTTCATGTACCACTGCCTTACACTTGGAGTTTTGTTCGATTTCCAGTTTTGTGCAATTAAAGTTTTTGCTGCAATTAGAAAAATTAGTAGGATATCCATTTTGTTTCCAGGTTTTTTAATATCTGGCCAATAATTTAAAAGTATAAATTCGGGAGTATATGGTACCTTAATTCCTAGAATTTTTTCAATATGTCCTAATATTCTAATCCAAAACTTAGTATTAAAAGGGCAGTCCCACCAATAATGCTTAAATGTTCCAATGCTTCCGCATCCTTTCCAACATTGTGGGTTTACATTGGATATTATATGTGTTAACCTTTGAGGTGTTAAGTACCATCGTGAATATATTTTAAAATTTTGGAGTTTAATATTCAGTGCGTTGGTTTTAAAAAGATAATTAGACCAAATATGGTCCCATTGATCCTTATCTATTTCTAGTCCACAATCTCTATGCCAAGATTTTTGTATTGAAGTGAGCTGGTTCCATTTTTGTTGTTTCAATAATTGATATATTAAAGAAATCAATCCCCTTGCTGTTTATTAGTAAGAATAAAAGATCCAAATGGTGTTAGTGGTCTGCACAACATGAGTGAAATATTGGGGTTGTGTATAAAGTGTCCAACTTGAGAATATTGTAACCATGGAATTTCAAATTTGTATTTTTCCTCTAATTGTTGTTTGGTAAGCATCTGTTTTTGTTGGTATAAACTACCCAATCAAAACAATCCTTTTTCTTTCCATAATTCAAATGTTGATGAGTCAAACCCTGGTATAAACCACTGTTGTCTTACAAAAACTGTTATTGGAGATACTGGTGGAGCTATTGTTGTTCTAAATTTATCCCACAAGTCTAAAGATAGTTTCAAGTATGGGTTATATGGTTCCTTTAATTTTCTATCTTTAGGATGATTCCATATTCTTTCATATAATAATCCCAATTTTAAATATGTTTGTTCAATGGCTATCCAAGCTTTTTTTATAATAGGCTGTGCATA